ATGGATGGATGATAAATAGATGGATGATAAATAGATGGATGGATGATAAATGGATGGATGATAAATAGATGAATGATGATAGATGGATGATGGACAGATCGACGGATGGATGCACGTCAGGATGATGAATGAACACAGTGAATAATTCACTAACAATAACCAAGTTATCACAATGAACATGATGATCAACAGTTTAGTTCAGATCTGCATCAGAACAAGTTCGAGCATCTTAAAACACCGAACCAGACTCCGGCCACAAATGTGGAAACTGTTGTGTCATGCTGCTCGCTTCTTCAGACGACACCCAGAGGCTCCGTGAGAGGAAACTCAAGTTTACAACGTGCGTGTTTGTAAAGTTAGAGGTTCGACGTGAGCCGAACATTTGTATTAAACTTCGTTATTATTGAAACATCATTATTTGCTGTGTCCGGTGCGTTGTGCGATTTCAACGACGAGTGAGCGGTTAAATTGGGGTTTTATTGGCGGAGGTTTGGCACCGGACACACGGTGCAGCCCTGCCCATCCCGGGGCTTTGACTCTGAACGGGCCGCAGAGATGCTGCGACACGTTCGACCAGGTTAGCATGTAGCTCACCTTTAGCTGCAGAGATGTTACTGAACCGGATCTGGGCCGGTTTGTCCCGGTCCACATACGCCCCTCCTTTGTTTCTGCCCCCGGTTGGGAGCCTCGGTGCCGCCATCATTTCGGGCATCGCGGCCAACTAACGGATGGATGATGTTCGGGTGAAGGTTCGGAGCGGGAGAGAGGGACCGCGGGGTTGACGGACGCGGTTCGGCGGCGGATGGACTCGGATTGAGGTGAAATCGTCCCGGCGCCGGTGAGAAGCTTCCAGAACCACGGGAGCCTGCGGAGAGAGGGAGGATCCGGCGACGAGAGATGACGTATCCAGACCCAACGCGTCCATCGCCGATTTGACAGGATTCATTGATGTACTCATCAAAAAGTTAGAATTCAGATTGAATTCACCGAATAATCAACAATCATCAAAGTTCACACGATTGAATCTGTTTTTATTCTCACCGATTTGTGAATTTTAAACATTTAGGTGAGACGTGCTGACTGCGGATCGATTGGTTCCGTCTGTTGAGGCTGCAGACGCTAGTGGATGCTAGCACGCTAACAGGAAGCTGAAGCGTGTTTCCTGCCTCCGCTTGAAGTCTGAGTGAAAGAACGGATCCTCCGTCAGGTAGGTTCCTCTCAGACTCCCACCTGCGGCTCGAGACCTCTGCTCGAGTTCACGTGTTCTCCCGGGGGCTCCGAGAGGCTCCGTGTTAGCTCCGCTAGCTTAGCAACCCCGAGAGTGTCATGCTGTGGCAGGAGGAAAAGTACTCCGCTGCATCCTGCTCTCAGATGTCACCTGAGTAAAAGTACACAGGTGTAATATACAGTATACGTGTAGTGTGATGAGAACCTGCAGGATGAGTGAAGAGACTCATCAGAGTGTTGTTACTTTCAGGTGAACTTTGATCGTCGCTGCTGGAGCTTGAATGTTGTTTCTGTCATCAGTGATCAAATATCACATTTACACTCAAACAACAAATCAGAGTGATTCAAAGAAAAGACCTCAGAGGAACTTGAACTGTGAAATATTTGAACATGTGAAATGATGTTTGTAATAATACATGAACCGATTTAAAGTCGGAACAGTTTGTCCACCAGAGAGCAGAGAAAAGTTTATTTACCTTTATGATCATCAGATTGATCATTAGCATTCATGTCCTACGTTTACTTGTCGGCAGATATATCTTAACGACCTATCATCCAAATATTATCCTGGTTAATTTATCTGTCAGGTTCAAATTGTGAGTCCTGCTCTTTCTTTTATTCATTTAATGGCAAATTAGAGTCCTCACACATTCACACGAACAGGAAAGATGCATCGTTTACTCTCTCTCACCGTGACTGAAAGGATTTGAAAAGGTTGAATTAAAGTTCGTGTTCAGCCGGAGTCCTGTAATAAATGTCAGTGCTCGTCTGCAGCCTGCTGTCATGCTGCCTCTGAAGGAGAAGGATAAACCCATCGTCCAGAAACTGCTCTCTGCCGGCTGCTGCGCTCGCTGCATCCTCAGATTCTGCTGCACTCGTGTCCAGGCCGCCTACCGACAGCCACAACAGGTGGGACACGCACGTTTCACCTTCTGTGTTCATTCCTCAATATTTCTAAATGTCCAGTGTTCCCTCTTAACACCAGTTACCTGGTCATTGTCTCATCTTACACAGGAAACACTGAAGGAGCTTCTAGCTTTCATCAGCGACACAGAAAACAGCAAAGCCCCAGATTCAGCAGCCTCAGTGTCCACTGGAGAAAACAAGTCCCATGATGCATCTGTGTCAGAGGCAGCTGAGCAGCCGGCGAGCAAAAGAGCGAAACTGGAACACAACGAGACGAACGCCGGGTCAGAGGAAGGCGAAGACGCTGCTGCTAAGTCGCATGTGTGTGTGGTGTGTTTGGGAATCCTGCAGGAATTCTGTGCCACCACTCAGGCTGTAAAGGTGTGTGTGTGTGTCTGTGTGTGTGTGTGTGTGTGTGTGTCTGTGTGTCTGAGTTTCTTGACATGAATCTATGTGTTTGTATTTTCACAGATTGCAGAGGCAGTGAAAGCTGAAAAATATGAGTTTGACACCCTGGTGTTGTCCGTCTCTCTGCCAGCTCAGCTGTGTGTCCGTGAGGTGAGTGAGTGAGTGAGTGAGTGAGTGAGTGAGTGAGTGAGTGAGTGTGTCTGACTGCGACTCATGGTTACATTCATTTTTACCTTTTCTGTCGATTCTATTTCCAATGAATGGATTAATCACTGTCACATCATGACCCTAAAACTCCACTGTTGTATATCAGTCCTCTAAATAGAACTGATTTTGTTTCATTGAGATCAATTAATTATTCTGTGGGAAACCTTCACAAACCACAGCTCTACGTTGAAGAAAGTCACAAATGTCATAAGTTCTTTGTTGACGCACGTCTCTTCCCTCTGTTAAGTTTCGTGGAAACGTGTTCTGTAGTTTTCGTGTGTTCGTGCTGACAAACGTAACCGCCTTCACGATTAAATCTCAAAGTTGTTGTGATTGATGTGTTGCATTCGGACCCTGCAGCACTCCTGTTGGCTGCACGTGAAGAAGGAAGTGAGGTAAAGTGACTCTCGATGTTTTGAACTGGTTCAGTCGCTCGGGCGTCTCGTGGATCCTGAAGTTTAACTGCAACACTTTCTACGTTCAGAGACAAGGGCCTGGTGCTGGACAAGGACGACATCATCCCACTGAAAGAGGCCTTCAAGTGGGTCGTGCAGGGCCTGGTCGCCAAGCAGCTGGGGGGTGTCGCCGTGGTTACCAAGGTAAGAGACATCCACGATGAGATTCTTTTTCATTTCGGAGTCAAACTTTCGTGGGCGGGGGGG